TTGTCAATCAATTAGAAAATTTAAAAATTGTATGAGCCAAATTCAAACTTTGAAAAATAAGTAAAATACTCAAATTTATAAATATCTTTCTTCATTTTGTGTATAACAATAATAAGTAAGTAATTATATAAAATTTCTAAGGTATTTCAATATAACTTATTAAAATATTATTATTTATAATATGCTTTTAAATAGTATTTTTTTTATATTATATTGGAGTTATTGGTTTTATAATTAACTTACTTTCAAGGCAATTTACAGGAAAAGTGCATTAACAATTAGCTCGTAATCATTGCGTGTTTTATCCATTTCCCTAAATTTTAGTTAATGTAATTGTTAGTCATTGTAATTGAAGCTCAGAGGGCTATTACGAGGTAGATTTATCGAAACGATTCATTCAAATAAGGATCTTTAAGTAAAGGTGTGATATCCAAACCAACCCAAATGATCCTGTGGGCCACTTTGGAAATACATCCTAATATAGAATATATAGAATTATATAGAATTCCTATATAGAATACAAGATCCTATATAGAATTATATGTCCCTATATTAGATTTAGATCCACTACAGATTTTTTGGAGTGAAAAATTGAAACATAAAGAGTTTTGATTTTTGAGTTTACTATTATTCTTACATGTAAACATAGATAATATAATAATAATGATACTAAGCGCACATGGTAAAGAAATATATAATACTCAAAATGAAATATAAAAAATATATAAATATAAATGAAATAAAAAAAATGAAATCGTTAAAAAATATTTATTTTACTAGTGCGATATTTAATCTCGACTATTTCAACTTCCTAGTCTTTGCAAATCGATCTCAATTTAGCTATTTGCACATCGTAATGGGTGGTTGCATCTGTTATATTTGAGTGTATTTTGTGTTGGGTCAATTTAATTTTCGAAAAAAAAAAAAAAAAAACAATTCGCAGGTGTAAATTGAACCAAAAGCGCTAACAACTTGAACCAAGAGTTTCGTTTGCTCTGCTATCACCAATCATCTGTGCGTATCTAGGGATGATCACTGAGGTCACTTAAAATGAAACATAGAACTTGCTATATTAGATGTCCCAAGATGCAGCCGATTGGCAACCGCTGTTTTAACCGAATAATCACATTAACTTTAGAAAATGTATTACACTAAGGTAAGTAATCCTTGATGGTAATAAGAATTATTAGTAAAGAAAATAATAAAAATTACATTTATTGATAAGTAATTAAAATATATTTTATTTAACACCGAATAGATTTACTTGATGAATCTTCTATTTTACGGGTCTCCAAACTACGGCCCGCCAGTGGCATCTATTCGGACCGCGACAGAGAATAGCTGTCATATGTTGGATAAAATAACACAATAATAACTCGGTTTTATTGACTTGCTAGGTAAAGCTTAATGACAAGCATAATACGCGATCAATTTAACTTAAGCATAACAACTGACAAATAATTGAAATGAACCCCCCTAACATTATAAACTAGTGAACATCCCGCGGTCACCCTCGGTAGTTATGTTGGGGTAAAGAGTATCGCATAGGTATAAATATCGATGTTTGCAATGTATATATCCTGAATCGAACATATGATTTTTATCCTGAAAATCCCTCAGGAACGGAAAAGCTAAATGAACGCGAATGAAACCGCAGGGTTTCCACTTGTAAAAAGAGATTGTGTAATTGTGATTTTCCCCTGACAATAGTTTGTAGTTAAAATGTACATGCGGTTTTGGCCCTTGGTACTTACTGGAGTAGACAGTATGGCCCTAAGGCTAGAAAGTTTGGAGAGCCCTGTTCTAGTTGATATCTTTATGAAAAAAGAAAATAAATTTTCAAAATTAGGTCACTTGAGTATTTTTAGTTTGTTGTCATAGCAAAATATTTATATAAACAGCTTAGATCTGACAATAAATGTATAGATTAAACTGTTTTAATAATGCACCTAAGAAATCTATATTGATGATTACCGTTTTCACTCTTAAATTGGTTAATGTTGCTCTATGTGTCCTTCTAGCGTACAGGAGGAATTAGGCTTGAATCTGCTGGCCGCATCCGTTGTGACCATTTATTTTAATTCAATTTATTTTGCCGCTCTACTGTTATTTTTTGCACACTTTGAGTTAATTAGATCGAGACTTACACTTTAACGTGGATTCCGAACCACCCACAAACATCCATGCCACCGCCAGGATTCGAACCTGGAGCCTATGGTACCAAAGGCCAGAGCGCTAGCCTATTGGCATCAGTCTACCCATTGATTTAAGAAATCTGTATATTAGACAGCGATTGTAACAGCATGTATTCAAATTATCAAATTGTCATTCTTATTTTATAGAAAGAAAAACTGTCTGAAAAGGGGTTTTTTTTCAGGGAGAGTCACCCCTACTATACCCAAATGTAAGGCAAGCTCCAAAATAATCTCCAGCAAGTAGCAAAAGGGTGAATATCTACAACTTCATGAGCAGATAAAAACAAACCCCCGAATATTTTTATAAAATATACAAAAACAGGGTGTGAAACAAGTTGATCAGTAAATTCGTAAAATCTAAAAGAAATGAATTATATCACCTTTAGAATAGCTTATGGGTGTGTATTTCTATTTCTATGGATAATTATGCAGATTTTGAATTGTTACAAGTATGAGAGATAACCCGGGAAAAGACCCCACTGCTAACCCCACTGCTTAGAGTCATCAATTCGTTGTTGTTTTGGGTCGATTGTGAGCTCGCGCGGCATCCACTTTAAACAGAGCTTTCGCATATCCAAATATTCATTCACGATACGTCCAACACGTTACTTTGATATCTTCAGGGTCTCAGCTATCTCAATCCACTTCACTTTACGGTTATCAGAAATTATTTTGTGGAATCTTTTTGATGTTTTCGTCGGTAACAGCCTCTTTGGGGCGTCCACTGCGTGCATCGTTCTCGGTGCTCATTTCGCCTAGTTTAAATTTAGCAAATCACTTCTCTACGGTTGATTTTCCTAGTGAAAAGTCTGAATAATGTTTATCAAGCAAAGCCTTGGCTTCAATAGTATTTTTTTTCGCCAAAAAGCAATGCTTTATTAACACACGAAATTTCCTTTTTATCCATTTTTTCAAACTAAGAAAAGTTTCTTCACTAAAAATGCTATAACTCACATACTAATAGTGCAACAGCTGTCAAATTTATACACGTGTCTTTTGAAGGTTAGGGCTAATTAAAAATCATATGGATTTAATACTAGTACCGCCATCTATATGTTAGCCTATGAACCTTTCAGCCCACCTGTTAGACGCAACTATGAGATTCGAACTTTAGCCCTCTATAAAGTTAACTGTGTATCTAACACTAGGCCGCGAATCAAGTCGATTTGTAATTATAGATGCTTTGTATATTATGTATGCATCAAACGTAAAATTGGAAAAATCTCAGAAAAACCTGGCATTCACTTTATGTGTTTTTAAAGAGATTTAATGCTGATCTAACTTGATAGCTTAAAAATAAAAATAAAATAATTTTGGAACGCAGTCCAATTTTATAAAGCGTCATTTTTCTTTTCTACATTCTTCAGTCTTTATTTTATTGCAGAATTTTATATTTACTTCACTGTAGTTTTTCATTTTCTATTATTTATTTATTTATTATTATTTTTTTTTTGAAAAAATTTCTTCTTTCAAATGCTTTTAAAACAATTGATAACCTCATTATCTGGCGATTATTGAAACGAATTTTTGGAAATCATCCAAAACAATTTTTTTTTCTTTCTTGACAAATGTATATATATTTTTTTCCATTACAAGTTTGAAATAAAACTTTCTTCTAAAATAAATTTTTTTTAAAAGAGCAAAAGAACATTAAATTTCAATGATTTTTTTTTAATTCTTTAGTAAATTTTAAATTGTATCTGCGTTGATGGTCTCAGTTCAATAAACAAACAAACAAAAACATACAATGTTTTGCTTTCGTTAGTAGATAAATGAAATGAAGTGAAGGAATATTTTGGGCATCTGAATTTTCTTTATTAAAAACAAGTAATATAAAAACAAAAAATTTAAAGTCAATTCCTACTTTTTTTTCACTACATTGCAGAAAGTCCTTTATAAATAATTTTCATTCATTTTTTTAAAGTTTATCTGGTGTCATTTATTAGTAGATATATGCAATTTAAATCTAAAAAAAATTAATTAATTAATTAAATTTAATGAATGAATTAATATTAGAAAAAACACTGTATTAACATCCAGTGTCATCCACTACAAGTTTCAAAAAAACGTATTTGAACTTGAGTGGATGAATAAAAAGTATTTTATGAACGATTGAAGATTTGAACAAGATATATATATAGGGAGAGTGGGAGCTAATAAAAGGAATTGAAAAAAGACAAAAAATAATATTATGTATGTAGGATTTGTTTGTCTGCTAATTAGCAGACGGCAACACATTACTGTTATGTGTCATTGACCCAGACCTTTCACCACGTAGGGAGCATCGAACTCTGAACCTTGACCCCAGGAGGAGGGAACAGATCCCCGTTGTTGAGAGAGAAGAAGCGAGACTGGCGGCCGACGGGATAGCTGCAGCCGGCAGCGAGAGATTGAGAAGGACAAAGATGTTTGTGACGAATTAATAGTCAAAGTAAATATCGATGTACATATTATTGTACCGAATTAAATGGCTGTCGGCCTTAAAAGAAACACTCATCTATTTACATTATTATGTTGTTGTTGTTTCTTATCCCACTTGACTGGCCAAGCCCACGAGCACATACGTACTCATGATTGAAGGGGAAGGAAGCAGCTTCTGTTGTGATGGAGCACCCGTAGGTAGAAGCCTGACTTTGATCTCCGTGACGCTCTTACAGTCATAGGAGACCGGGACCTACGGCTTAAAGTGGATTCCGAACCACTACAAACATCCATGGCACCGCCGGGATTCGAACCCGAAACCCGTGGCACCGAGCGCCAGAGCACTAGACACTCGGCTATTCAGGTCTCAAATTTGTGAATGCCAACGGCACGCGGTGTTCCCAGGTGGTCACCCACCCAAGTACTGACCGCGACCAATGATGCTTGACTTCGGTGATCTAACGAGAACATTATTATTATTTACATTTACCAATCAACCCCTAGACACCACAGGCCCACCCTATAAAAGTAGAGATTCGGCAGAGTTGAGTTCGTCATACGCGTTTCGAAAGCTACAGCCTACATGTATGATACTTAAATCGTCTTGTTGTTTTCGAATAGTGAGTATTTTTTTATTTGAGATCATGTGCTTTTAGAATGAATTGCGTCTGATGGCCAATTGGCTGGTGCTCTGGCCGTTGGTACCACATGGCTTCAGGTTCAAATCCTGACAGTGCCATGGATATTTGTGAGTGGTTCAGAATACACGTTAAACTGTAGGTGCCGGTCTAATTAGCCTAAAGTGTGCACAAAATGATCGTAGAGCAACAAACCAAACCTTAGAATGAATTACTAGAGTAATCTATACTATGCCTATAATTTGAAATTTTAATTTAGAACTGTAACCGTGGGCCTGAATGGCCGAGTGTCTAGCGCTCTGACGCTCGGTGCCACAGGTTTCGGGTTCCAGTCTCGGCGGTGCCATGAATGTTTGTAGTGGTTCGGAATCCACTTTAAGCCGTAGGTTCCGGTCTCCTATGACTGTAAGAGCGTCACGGAGCAGAAGTCAGACTTCTACCTACGGATGCTCCATCAGAAGAGAAGCTGTACCCCTCTTCCCTCCTTCTATGAGGGACACGACAACAACAACAACTGTAACCGTGGTTTCACCTACACAACCATGTTTCCTCTTACACATTGCATGAGTGCCTCTTGTGGAGTTCGGAAGAAATTGTCTGTTGCCATATATTCTCTCACCCGGGAGGGTGCACGGCGCAACTGTCACAGAATTACAGTCTTTCATCCCAAAAGCTAAAAGTGGAATCCTTCCACTCATCCTTTATATCGTTAAATATGTTACATGTATTTTAAATAGTGTTGTTCCTGTCGCATTTACGTGCTTATAAAAATAAATCTGTGTATTTTTGAACTTGCGACTCGATTCAACCACACCCAGTTCCAATTGCACAAACAAACTGGTGGCCGAACAGGGATCTCCCTACTTGCGTGACTACTACTACTACTACACCTACCATATCACTATGCCTAGAGCTGAGTTGCCCCTTTACAGTTTCGGAATGATGTGGGTGAGAAGTCTGACTGTGACGCTCTACGATCATATGAGACCGGGACCTACCGCCTGAATTGGATCCAAATCACTATAAACATTCATGGCACCACTGGAATTCGAACCCAAAACTTGTGGCCACCGAACCCCAGAGCGCTAGACACTCGGCCATTCAGACCCCCCAAAAGACGACTGGATGTTTAAGTATGGAGTATTTTTTTAGAGTTCTAACAGCATCACCTGGCAACAATAGAACATTCTAGCGAATGTTTCAAAATTACATGCGGCATTATGAGACTGAATGCGCGAAAAGCCGGCCTGGTGGCAAAGAGACTAGAGCTATGGCCTTTAGTATACCAGCTTCAAGTTCCAATCCTGGCGGTGGCATGGAAATTTCTGAGTGGTTCGGAATCTACTTTAAACTGTAGTTCCCGGTCTGTTTAGGCCTCGTGTGTACAAGATGACCGTAGAGCGACAAACCAAACCGGAAAATCCCGAAATTTTAACCAGAGAAAACAAATATATTTACATTTTTAAAATTGAATTGTAAAATATGTTGTTGTCGTATCCTTTTTGGAAGGAGCGGCCTGATGGACAATTAGCTAGCGCTGTTACCGTTGGTACCACTGGCTTCAGGTTCGAATTCTGGTGGTGGCATGGATGTTTGTTAGTGGTTCAGAATCCACTTTAAATTGTATGTCCCGGTCTGTTTAGCCTAAAGTGTGCACAAGATGTCAGTAGAGCGACAAACCAAACCATCGCGCGAAAGAAGTAATTTCAACTACAGTACAAGACGATTTTCATCAGAAGAGGTGACCCATTGATCAATGACCTGTAAGTAGAAATCTCGCAATTTGTGTGCCAACCCCCAAGACGTCTTGCTACCGGAGAAGCCGAGTGATCTTCTGTTGCTTCAAGATGTTGCCAGGGCCGGCCGCTATTCGTCATGGGAAGGGGACTCGCTACGAGCAGCGTCCGGACTTAATGGGGTAAGAGGAACACAAAGACGAATTGATGCAGAGATTTTTCTGAGTTTCCATCCGAGCGCGATAGATAAATGCTCCCGGGGCTAGCTTATTTACTTTCCCGCTTCGCTGGAGAAATGACCATCATTGGCTGGAATTGGCTTTTTATGGTATTGGTCACTTATGGCTCCGGACAAGATATTAGTCATACGGCAGCAAAATGAAGACGCTTGCCTTTTTGTTCCGAAGGGCCATTTTTGCCTCTTCCTGTATTAATCTGATATAAATCAAATCTGCCTCGGTTGTTTTCAAAGTGCTTTTCGGAAAGCAATGCGGCTTTGTTTTATTTATTTTGAATTTAGAGGCCAAAGACGGTAGATAATGTTTTTCTCATGAAACTTTTGGTTTGTTTTTATTTATTTTCCTCATCAATGATCTAAAAAAGTTCCTGGAGTCAGTTTAAAATTCCACCTTCTCTCATGCCCAAGTCCAAAAAATTTTTTTTTTCTTGGCCATTTATATTTCTTGCATGCGTCATTAATTTTGCGGAGCAAGCTGAGGACGATTACTGTTTGTTAAGACTGTTAGTGTTGTCTCTGTCTATATTAATCTAACATACTACTGTGCCCCAAAAGTAAGAGCTTTAATTATTCTTACAAATTTATTTCATCGCCTTCAAAGTAATCCCCTCCAGACACAAGGCACTTATGGCAACGTTTTTTCAAATCCTCAAAGCACGCTAAAAAGTCATCGGAAGGGATGACCTTCAAAGCGAGAGGCTATTCACTTTGAATGTCTTCAATCGACTCAAAACGGTGTCCCCGGAGTGGTCTTTCGAGTTTAGGGAATAGCCAGAAGTAGCGCGGTGTGAATACGGTCGTTGTGGAATGACATGGGTTTCATTTTTGGCGAAAAAGTCACGAAAAATTAATGCAGTGTGAGCTGGAGCATTCAGTGTTTTCGGTACCAATCGATATTTGACGCGTTTGAGACCCAAGTTCCTTGCTCAATGAATTCAGACAGTTCAAAAATCGCCGGAATCAGTTTCAGCAACTCACAAAGACAAGCGTCACTCAAACACTAATGAATATTTTGACATCAAATTTCACACAGATGTCAAGGACAGTTCCAGAAACCTAAAAAAGGAAGAAAAAAATTTAATTCCATTAGCCCCGGGAATTTAAATTGAAAATTGGTCTTACTTTTCGGACACAGTAGTGTTAATTTTGAATTTAGAGGTCAAAGTTTGTAGATAATTTTTTTCTTCGGAAATGTTTTGTTTGTTTTATTTATTTTCATCATGAATGGTCTAAAAAATAATGGAACAAGTCCCTGAAATCAGTTTAAAATTCTACATTCTCTTATCCCCTAGTCAAAAAAAATTTGTAATGGTGATTTATAACTCTTGCACGCCTTATTAATTTTTAGGAACCAGATGAGGATGATCCGATGTTTGTGAAGATGGTTAGTTTTGTCTCCTCCTACTTTTATCTTGTAAATATTAGTAATTACCATATTATTAATAATAGGTTGAGGAAAAAAAATCCATTATATTTTCGGTAGATGGCTGTAGTGATCGATATATCGTAAAGTATCGATCAAACAATTTCAGATTTATGCTCGTTGGAAAGGTGACATTTTGCAATAAAAAAATTATTTTGCTGTTTCTTGTTTGATGCATTCAGTTATGAGTTACAGAGTGTTAAAAATGGAAGTCAACAAAGAGAAAATTCGGTACATTTTACAGTTTTTCTTTGATAAAAGCGAAACTGCAAGTCAGGCGGCTGAAATTGTAAATGGTGTTTATGGTCCTGATACTGTAACAGCCAATTAAGTGTAATTTTAGTTTTGCCAATTCCGTTCAGATATTTCTGATGGTAAGGATGCACCTCGCACAGGTAGGCTCGTGGTCGAAAATGTTGATAAAATCCCAGAAACAATCGTAAAATAGTTGGCAGGCATGTTAGCAGTCGTAGCTTCGCCCAAGAGCTAAAGATCGACCACAAAACAGTTTTAAACCATTTGCACAAATACGGATTCAATTCCAATTCTGGAGATTATTCGTAACTGCTTTCTTGTTCTTCTTATAAAACAAGTTTTGCTTATGTAATTATTAAATGGAATGAACATTTTGGACATCAGACTATTCTTTCTAATGGCGAGATAAAAATTTTAACAGGTATGTAGCATATTACGTGTTGCGCATCCGCTGAATTGCACCCATTGTTTACCATTTCAATTTAGAGCGACTTTCTTCGTGTACGGCATATAGTCTTTCTTTGCCAAAATACTTCCGACTGGCAGATGTAGGTTCCCGCTATTTGACATTGAGATTCGATATGAAGATGCAATGCGAATCAGCTTAAGTTCGAATTAAAAACATCAATTTTAGTTAAGAACTACTTCTTTTTGGTCTTTAATTTGTTTCTCATTTCTCGTTTATATATATATATACATATATATTCTTTTCTAAACTAAGCTTAGTTATTCTAAACTAGATTTAGTGCCTAAATGCATTAGATTTTAAATAATAGGATTTTTCTATTCTAAATGTTATCCTTTCAAAAATTAAAAAAAAAATTTGCAAATCATTAAAAACCGCCACGCAAAAAATCCTTAAAAATTTTTATTAACCACTGGTTTAAAACGCATATTTGATAGAAAAAAAAATTAAATGGAATAGTTAAATTAAATAGATTATAATTCATATAATGATTTACTGCATAAGATTAATATAACTCTCCTTTATACAAGATCACCAAATTAAGTCCAGTTTCAATATCTTGAGACTGCCTATTTGATACAGAACGAAATCTACGATGATCGTATTAAAATATCTCTTTCAAAACCAACACCGAATAATCATCTAAAACGTCAATAGAACAAACCATCGAATTCATCTCCTAAACTGGAAGCACCAGGCAATCTCAAACACTA